TAGTAGCTTCTTGTTACTACTAGTAAGGCACTTGTTACTAGAAGCGATGCACTTGTTACTAGTAGCTTCTTGTTACTACTAGTAAGGCACTTGTTACTAGAAGCGATGCACTTGTTACTAGTAGCTTCTTGTTCCTAGTAGTAAGGCCAGGAGATCTAGGTATACACCCTAGAAGTTCCAAAGACGATTTCTCGGACCACCGAAGTCAGGGAGATTCCTTGACTCCTGTCATCTAGTCAGACCGCTTGAAAAAGTCTTGGACTCCCAGGGTATGTATATACTGGTTTTATACACTAAAAGGCAGAAATTAAGCATAGTTGGAAGATCTAGATATCTTCCAGGAGTCACAAGACGGGGTGCCGAACTTGGAGGTAGTCGGGGTGCCCCTGTCACATCCACGAGCCCTGGATGGGACTCAAAAATCACTCAACTCACCCTGTGACTCCTGGGATGATGTATCTGATATTTTGCGCTGTGGTCTTCTACCCTGTTTTCCAAGATCGTTGCTTTGTGGCTCGGATCCAACGGTGTGGCATCCCAACGACCCCCTTCCCGTGGCCGCGCTGGGAAGCGTGCCAGTCGTTCGGGTGCAGGAGCTGTGGTAGCCGTGGTAGCCTGAAACACACTATGGTACAGTACAGAAGTGACGATACCACTGTTACCTAGTACTTGGTTTGGGAAGTTCGGGAGAATTGTGCCACTTCCGAGGGTCTTGAGATGGACTTACATGGCAATTGGAGCTGAAACTGTATAGTGATAATGTCGCCTGGGAGTCAAAGACTACGGGAGTTGGAAAGGGAACATCCTTTACTTCAGTCGGTCAAAACATAGTCTTTGGACTTCTATAGGGATTATGTAATACGGCCCTCCTGTGCTTTGCTACGTACGAGGAAGTTTCTTCACATTGTCCTCTACCGGGTGATTGCATCAGCTTGCAGGAATGTCACTATAAGAATCTTTGATTCAGTTGTCAGCTCTGAACGCCAGAGAGGCTCGAGACCGTTTGTGACCCTGTGTGGTAGAGAAGAACTTGAGCCCAAAGACGGGGACTTACTGTAGTCCTCCCTTCCTCTCTGCTCGCTGGTGGTTTGGGATCAAAAGAGCTGCGGGTGTCATAGTCCCGAGTTCATTTGAACACTTGCTGAGCAGCTTTCACTTGAAAAATCTTCTAAAAGATGATCCTTTGCCCAGTATTGGCTATAGTACCATCTTCCAAATCCAAGGCAACCAGCTCAGATGATCCACCTGGCCAGGTCGATCGATCCCACCGACCTCGTCCCCAGACTCCTCCCATCCTCTCCGCCCCCGACCCACCGACCCGGAAGCGCCCGGAAGCGCCCGTCTCGACAGGCGCCGTCTTCTCGGTCCAAAACCACGGCAACTTCGGGAGCTCCTTGAGCGTGGCCTCCTTCGCTCGACTCGGTGCGGGACACGTGGACCGAAGCGACCGACCGCGAAGGAGGGTGACCCGCGACGTGACAGGGGTGCATTTTGGTGGGTGGTTTCTTCCATCAAGGTGTTTCTTCTTTTCCCGGAACAAGTGACACTCATTTCGATGTCTTTAGATTCTAAATTTTTTGGGGGGCATGTTGAGATTTGATGGACAGAATATGCCACACAACTGACCCGTTGTTCTTCATCCAGACCTTCCTTCGACCAAACTCGTTCGCAGCCGGATCTTCGGGTGACAAACGGATCTTTTCTCTTCGAGCGATGTCATCGCCAGTGGAGTAGGGAACCCAATGCTTGGAAAGAAGGGTGGCCAAAACCTCATTATTTTGGACAGTTCGATGACAGACGACAGATTCCAATGTTCCACCCCAGACACTCCATGGGACTGCCATATACGGCGGCTACATGTATTCCCTTCTGGCACCACCCCTGGCCCTTTCTCGGTAGTCCTATGCCGGTCTCATGGGCCGGTTATGGGCTGCTTGGGATGGGAAACACCTCCACCAGCCCCAACAGCTCGTGGGCGTCCGTGGGCGACGCTGGCAGGCTTCACCACGCCTGTTTTCGGCGTGGCTTGAACTGGTAGCGCGTCCTCCGTTAAGGTGCCCGCCGTCTCCGGGTTTTCCGCGGCACGGAGACGGGTCGACCTCCCCGAGCGCCCCCAAGGGCGGAGACTAGGCTGGTCGTTCCCATGTGTTGAATGGTCGAACGGAAGTCTAAGCCAGCACCTTCAAAGGGGTCACCTGGCTGGAAGCCCCTACACTACCTAGGGATCTCCAGACAGGACACCCCTTTGAAGCTCCAGGAGGGCAGGTGATTGGTTGGAGACGATTTCGGAATTGCTTCAGGAGAGCCCAGTCGTACCTTCTGAGAAGGTCTGTAGATCCCGGGCCGGACCGGGCTTCAGCTTCCAAGACCGGGTTTCGGACTACGCCATGTACCAGCAAGAAGCCTGTGTGGCCATCAAGTGTCCATGGGTGGCAGGGTCCAGGGGTGTCTTAAAGAAAGACTAGACCGACAAACGTTTTAAGGGTCCCAACGGTTCTTGGGCGGGGTCTCTTGGGAGATATATAAATCTTTTGAACATCACTGAAACCTTCAAAAGCACCAGATACCAATTGTTCCAGAACTTCCAATATTTGCAGGCTTTGGTAGTTCTTTGGCGACCCGTCGTTCGCGCGGTTCGGGACGTTTGACAGTTGTAACTCCTCCACTGTGAGTGTCCGCACTTTCCGCCCCCCAACTCCCGGTTTCCGCGCCCCATGGAGTATTCACCAACCCTCCCATTTGGATGCGCGCACACCTCTTCAGGCTTGGGGGGTGCGAAATATCATCTAAGAGTCTCCATTGACCAAACGCTGCGAACCAATCACTCCCTCAACGGCGTTGTTGTGACGCCGGCGTCGTCCGCGCGTGAACCGGCGCGGCGTTTCCAGGACTTTACTCTCCTGGGAAGCTCGTCGTCCGTGGCGTCGTTCGCACGCCCGGGATTTTCGACGTTGCTCTTCGAGCAAGCCCGTGTGGGAGCTCAGAGCGGTGTGGGGCGAAGCAGAAGGGAGGAAAATATGGGAAAATGGTTGGTAGTTGATCCACTCATTGGTTGTTGGTCAGTGAAGAAAAGTAACGCCAGTTGAGGGTGACCACAGACCGCTGGTCCTTTTCTTACGAGAAGAGAACGGCCAAGCGGTCGACACGACGCCTAGGCAAGGACACGGCCGCATAGGCGTTCGACCTGTTGGTTGGCCAGTCTTTCGATCTTGGAAACAACCAATGTGCCCATGTACCAGCCGGTTCAATGTCGGGGCTCTGGGATTCAAACAACCATTGTTTTAATGGTCTTTACCAAAGAACCATTGTCTTACTAAGGATTTTTACACTACACTACCAACTCAACCAGTCTTTTAATGGTCTTTGAAGGCCGGGGGGGTGCTATCCATGGAGGAAGTCAGGGGCTTGCGCCCAAAACCCATCCACAGCCCCTTGTGGATGGGACGAGCTGTCCAACCAGTCCGACCCGTTCCACCGCTGGTACCGTGTGAACCGCCACGCGACGCGACCGTGTGTTGAACTGAACGCCGTGGTCCCATGACGTGATCGGTTCCGATGATGGGGAGGCTGTGACGATGGACGTTGGAGGGCACGTCTACCATCGAAAAGGAGCATGTGGGTGGTTTAAAGGTTTTTGACCTCGTTTGTCAGCAGAAGAAAGCAACAACAACACGAAACACCGAGCAAAAAACACCATGAAAGGACACAAAAGGACTTCAAACCAAGAGTATCAAGAAAGCATCTTCTTTCCTCACCGACCGTGTTCGCTGAGGCTTGGGCCCCATGCTGTTTGCCTTGGATTTTGTACACGCTGGACTGCCGCCATTTGCGCAGAGTCTTTCTTGAATTGGCCCGACTTTGTCAGTCTATGGCATCACTTGACCGGACAGTTCTCCCTTTGTACTGGACTTTATAGACTTTGGCTCATTGCTGTTCTCACGGACGCCTATCTGACTTGGAAGCGCTACGTCCGCCTATGGCATGAGCTGCCTGGGCCTTGCGATGTCCGCCTTAGAGTTCACCAGCTGTGGTTCAGCCGTACTTCTGCGTAGTCTTGTGCAGCTAGGGAGTGTGCCATTGGCTTACGGCTTGGCGCGCCTCGAAGCCTTTCTGTTGGTTTTGGACTTTGTTCATCTGGGTTTCTTGACCTTGTCGCGGAGCCATGTCTACTTGGACTTCACGACGTCGCCTTATGGCATGTCGTGGTCAGAATTCTTGCTCTTGGTGCTGGATTACGCACATCTGGGTAGTGCCTCATTGCTCCGTAGTTCTGCATGTCCTGAGCTCATCACGCCGCCCTATGGCAGCGTTTGATCAGGATTTCCGTCCTCCGTGTTGGACTTCATCCACTTGGGTTCGCCTCCACCCCTGCGAACGCACGGCCGCTCAGGACCTGCTTCGTTGGCCTATGGCTTGTCACGACTCGACCCGTTGATGCCCATTCTGGATTTTGTACATCTCGGCTTGATGACGTCGCCTCAAGGACTTGTATGACTGGAGCTCTTCTTGTTGGTCTTCGGCTTCACTTGCTTGGACTTGGCACTCTTGGTCCTCGAGATGGTTCAGGTGGGCTCTCCCATGCCTTTACGTAGCCCTGTGCAGATGGAGCTCTTGATGTCGACCTATGGAATGACTTGACTGGGAGAATTCCTTTCGGCTTTAGATTTGTTGCTTCTAGGCTTTTCTTCACCGGCGCGCAGCCTTTCACGTGCAGGTAGCTTCCTGTCAGTCTACGGGATGGCTTGCCTAGACAATCTGCCTTCAACTTTGGATTTCCTCCAGGTCGACCTTTTACTGTTCCTTCAAGGTCTTGCCTGTTTAGGCTTCTCGGTGTCCATCTTCGGTTTGGCCAGTCTCGAGCTCTTCTTTTCGGTCTTGGACCTCGTGTCTGCTGGCTCATCGCCTTTGCTGCAGTCGCATCTTCGACTGGGCTTTTTGACGTTGGCGTCCGGCGTGGCGCGCCTAGGCTTCGTGATGTCAACCTATGACTACGTGGAGCCGGGCAGCGGGTTGTCCGTCACCAGCTTTGCGCGGTTGGGATCTTTTCCGTTGATCTACGGGATTACTTGGCTGGGGTCATCACTGTTGGTGGTAGACTACCTGACATCAGGCTTCTTGTTGTTGCTTCATGCCTTTATGCACCTAGGGCCAGTACTTTCGCTCTACGGCATGTCCCGCCTTGGCTCGACTTCATTGATGCTAGACCTTGCGGTTTTAGACTTCTTCATGTTCTCGAGGGGTCGCTGCCGAATGGGCTCCTCCATGTTCATCTTCGGGCTGGCACGTCCAGGTTTGGCCTTACTGGTCTCGGATCCTGTTCAGCCGGGTTCTTTGATGTTCACGAGAAGCTTTATGCACTTGGACTTACTGTCATCAGCCTCTGGAATTGCATGTTTAGGTCTTTTGACGTTAGTCGTGGACCTTGTGGCATCAGGCTCTTCGCCTCCGCCGCGCGGGCTCGTTTGACTTGGATTGGTGCTGCTTTCGAGCGGCGTGGCTTGATCGGGCTTTCCTTCGCTGGTCTTGGACCACGTTCAACCAGGCCTACCTCTACTTCTAAGAGGTTTTGGATGCTCAGGCTTCGTGTTGCCGGCCTTTGGAATGGTTTGCTCGGGTTCCCTTTTGTTGGTTCTCGACTTCGCCAGTTGTGCGTCCTTCTTGTTGGCTCGAGGCTTTGCACGCTTCGGCTTCTTCTTGTTAGTCTATGGCATCAGCCGATCCGGCCTCTTCTTGTTGGCCCTGGACCTTGCACATATGGAACTCTTGCTGTTCTCACATGCCTACAGTTGTTTAGGCTTCTCATCGTCCGCCTACGGCATGATGTGCTTGGGCTTCTCGCCCTTGGGCATGGACTTTGCTCACTTCGGCCCGGCCTCTTCGCCGCGCAGCCTCGCGCGCTCGGGCTCCGCCACCCCCACGTACGGCCTGGCTCGCTCGGGACCCACCACGCCGCCGCCGGACCACGGCGCGGTCGGCCCACCGGTGTCGTTGCGGAGCCATTTGCGTATTGGCTCGGTGTCGTTGGTCTATGGCTTGTCACGGTCGGGTTCCTTCACGTTGGCCTTGGACCTTGTGAGCTTGGAGAGCGTGGTGTTGGTACGTGGCCTCGTTCGGATTGGCTTGGTGATGTTGGCCTATGGCATGTCCCGGCCTGGCTTGTTCTCGTTGATCCTGGATCATGCGCACATGGGGTCTTTCCTGTTCTTGCAGAGCTATATTTGCTTGGGTTCCGTGCTTCTGGCCTTTGGCATGACGTGGCCAGAGCTCTTGATGTTTGCCTCAGACCACATCAAGGTCGGCAGCGTCCCGTTGGTGCGAACCTTTGCGCGGTCGGGTCTCATCCCGTCCGCCTATGGCATGACACGGTCGGGGCCTTTGTCGTTGGCTTTGGACTTCATTACTCTAGGCTTCTTGATGTTCCTCCAGAGTCACTCGCAGGTGGGTTCGGCGACTTTCCCCCATGGTGTAGCGAAGCTCGGCTTTGCTTCGTTCGTCCTGGACTCTGTGAGCTCTGGCAGCTTGCTGTTCTCGAGATCCTTTGCTTGCATGGGCTTCATGACGTTGGTTTATGGCATGGGATGCCTGGGTTTCTCCTCGCTGGCTTTGGACTTCGTGGTCCTAGGCTCGTTGATGTTGATGAAGGGATCTGCTTGAACAGAGCTGATGATGTTTCTCTATGGTCTCAGTTGCCCGGATCCTTCGATGTTAGCTTTGGACTTCATCCACTCAGACTTGCTCGTGTTCTTGCGAGGCTCTAAACGGATGGGATTCTTTTTGCTGATCTTTGGCCTGGTTTGATTGGGATTCCCTTTGCTAGTGCCGGACCCCATTCAAACTGACTTATCCTCATTTCCGCAGGCGCCTGCATACTCAGGATCGCCTCTCTCAGCCTTTGGCCTAACTTGACTTGAATTCTCCTCATCGGTCATGGACCTTGGAACTATGGGCTCCTCCTTGTTGTCGCACGCGATGGCAAGGCCCGGATTGGCAGCTTTGATCTATGGAATCACCCGTTTGGGTCCCTTCTTGTTGACCTTGGACTTCTTTCAGCCTGGCTTCTCGCTTCCCACGCGATCCTTCGTGCACTTGGACTCTGCGACGTTCACCTATGGCATGGGGTGTCCAGGATTTCCCTCATCAATCCTTGACCTTGTTCATATCGACTCCAGCTTGTTTGTGAGATCTCCAGTTCGACCTGACCTCGTGATGTTTGTCTACGGCATGCAGAGGCTTGGCCTGCCACTCCTTGCCTCAGACCTTGTGCATATCGGCTTTTTGGCGTCCTTCAGAGCTTTCTCAAGGTTAGGCTTGGTTCTGTCGCCCTATGGCATGTCATGCCTTGACTCGGTGGCATCGGCCCTGGATTCCCTGACCTGTGGATCGGCGGTGCCCTTGCGAGCCTATGCACACTTCGGGTCGGCGATCTCCGCGTATGGCATGGGGCGCTTGGGCTCCTCGTCACTGGCGTTGGACTTCGTCAAGATCGATTTGGCCTCTTTGCTGAAGAGCCACGTGCGCGTGGGCCTGATCTCGTCCGCCTATGGCTTGGCTTGCACTGGATTTTTCACGCTGGCGCTGGATCACGTGAGTTGTGGATCGGCCCTACTGTCGCGTGGCTTGATGTGAATTGAATCCATGTTGTTTGCCTATGGCATGTCGAGGCCTGGTAGCATCATGTTGGTCTTGGACTTTGTGCACTTGGACTCAGTGTTGTCGGCCAAGGGCCTTGTTCGTTCAGGCTTCTTGCCGTTGATCTACGGACTATCAACGCCAGGATTTTTGCTGTTGGTGATTGACTTTGTGAATCTAGACCTCGCCTTGTTCACGCGGTCTTATGCCCAGGTTGGCTCAAGCCTCTTGGTCTATGGCATGCTTCGGCTTGGCTTCTCGCCATCCATTTTGGACTTTGTGCACTTGGGTTTGTTCTTGTTCTTGCGATCTTTCGCTTATTCGGAACGGGAGATGCCGGTC